GACGGACGTCGGGGTTGTGCCCCACGTGGGGGCAGAGCTGACCCCAAAGCTGCCCCAAATGCCACCCACGGTGTCCCCCCCCCACCGTCCCCACGCCCACCCCGGGGTTCCCAAAGCAGAGCTGTCCCCAAACGTGGAGCGTCCCTGGGGTGTCCTATGGGTGTCCCTAAGGATGTCCCTATGGGTGTCCCTAAGGATGTCCCTATGGGTGTCCCTAAGGATGTCCCAGGGGTGTCCTATGGCTGTCCCTACAGATATCCCATGGGTGGCCCTATGGATGGCCCCAGCCTGGTCCCAAACCCAGAGCATCCCCATGGCGTCCCCAGAGTGTCACCAGGGTGTCCCATGGGTGTCCTTTGGTTGTCCCTAAGGATGTCCCAGTGTTGTCCCTAAGGACATCACTATGGCTGTCCCTAAAGATGTCCCAGGGGTGTCCCTGCAGACATCCCTAAAGATGTCACTGTGGGTCTCCTGGGGGTGTCCCTACAGACGTGCCATAGGTGTCCCTATGAGTGTCCCTAAGGATGCCCCGTGGGTGTCCCTACAGATGTCCCTATGGATGTCCCTATGGGTTCCATATGGGGGTTCCCAGGGGCGTTCAATGGATGTCCCATGGATGTCCCTACAAGGGACCCTACAGATGTCCCAGGGCTGTCCCAGTGAGGGTCCCATGGATGTCACTACAAATGACCCTATAGATGTCCCTATAGGTGCCCTAGGGGTGCCCCAGTGGGGTCCCAGGAGTGCCAATGGATGTCCCATGGATGTCCCTATGGATGGCCCTGTGGGCACCCCATGGACGTCCCTACAAGTGACCCTACAGATGTCCCACAGATGACCCTATGGGGTCCCATGGATGTCCCTACAGATGTCCCTAAGGATGACCCCATAGGCACCCCATGGATGTCCGTACCAGTGATCCTACAGCCATCCCACAGACGTTCCTATGGGTGTCCTGGGGATGCCCTGGGGGAATCACAGTGGTCCCTCTATGGGTCCTGCTGTGGGTCCCACTATGCTGGGTGTCCCTCTGTGGGACTGTCTATGGGTCCCTCCATGGGTCCTGCTGTGGGTTATGCTGTGGGTTACACTGTGGGTCCCTCTATGGGTCTGGCTATAGGTCCCTGTATGGGTCTCTGTATGGGTCCCTTTATGGGCCCCACTGTGGGTACCAGTATGGGTTCCTCTATGGGTCTCTGTATGGGTCCTGCTATGCGTCCCAATATGGTCCCTCTATGGGTCCTGCTGTGTGTCACCCTATGGGTCTGGCTATGGATCCCTGTTCTGATCCTTGTATGGGTCCTGCTATGGGTCCTGCTGTGTGTCACCCTATGGGTCTCTGCATGGGCCTGGCTATGGGTCCTGCTGTGTGTCCCCCTATGGGTCCCACCATGGGTCCCTTTATGGGTCCCGCTGCGTCCCCCTACGGCTCCCCCTATGGGTCCCCTATGGGTCTCTGTATGGATGTGGCTATGGGTCCGCTGTGTCCCCCTATGGCTCCCTATGGGTCCCCTATGGGTCCGCTGTGTCCCCCTATGTCTCCCCCTATGGGTCCCCTATGGGTCCCGCTGCGTCCCCCTACGGCTCCCCCTATGGGTCCGCTATGGGTCCCGCTGCGCCCCCCGTGTCCCCGCGGCCGCGCTGTGCTGGGCTCCCACCTGTCGTGGTCGGCGCTGCGGAAGCGGGGCAGGATCTGTCGGAAGCTGCTGGTGCGGTCGAGCTTGGGCTGGCTCTTGGTGCGCTTGATGGAGCTCTTCAGCCGGCGGCTCAGGAAGCCTTGCTGGGGTACAGGCGGCTGAGCGCGGGGGGCGGGGGGGGGCGCGCCGGGGTCGCTCGGGGTCAATGGGGGCGCCGGGATGCGCGGCGGGTTGCCGTGGAGACAAGGGGGTGAAGGTTTCCGTGGCAACGGGGGGATGCGGGTAAGGGATGGATGGAGAGCACAGGGGGTAACCGCGGCGACCGGTAACCATGGCAACCGGTAACCGTGGCGACCGGTAACCGTGGGAACAGGTAACCGTGGCAACCGGTAACCGCGGCAACCGGTAACCGTGGCAACCAGCCATGCTGCTGGGGTTGCTGCGGTAACCGTGGCGACAGGGGGGTGACCATGGCAACAGACGTGTGTGGGAACCACGGTGACACGCGTGTGTGGCTGTGCACAACTGGAGAAACCGTGGCAACACGTGTGTGGGTGTGGGTGTGCAACTGGGGGAGCCGCGGCAACACGCGTGTGCAGGACGGGGTAACCACAGCAGCACAGGGCAGGTGGGTGAACAACAACAGGCTGTGCAGGATGGGGTCACCGTGACAGCACAGGATGGGTCGCCATGGCAACAGGCGTGTGCGGGATGCAGGTCGCCATGGCAACAGGTGTGTGCGGGATGCAGGTCACCATGGCAACACGTGTGTGCAGGATGCAGGTCGCCATGGCAACACGTGTGTGCGGGATGCAGGTCACCATGGGAACACGTGTGTGCGGGATGCGGGAACCACAGCAACACAGACATGAAGGTAACCATGACAACAGGCGTGTAATGAATGCGTAACCACAGCAACAACCATGTGCAGGATCACCACGGTAAACATGGCAACATGTATGTCCAGGATGGGGTAACCACAGCAACACGTGTGTCCAGGATGGGGTAACCAGGATAACACATATGTCCAGGATGGGGTAACCATGGCAACAGGCATGTACAGGAAGCAATAACCACGGCAACACGTATGTCCAGGATGGGGTAACCAGGGTAACACGTATGTCCAGGATGGGGTAACCATGGCAACAAGCGTGTTCGGGATGGAGGTCACCACAACAACACACGTGTGTGCAGGACGGGTAACCACGGCAACA